CACCGGCAGCGCGGGCCCCCAGGGCAGGTGGGAGTGAATGGGGCAACCACCCAGTGCCACTGCCCCAGTGCCACTGCAACCAAACCACCGCCTCAGTGCCCTCCAGGAGGAGGAGGAAGAGGAGGATGAGGAGGGAGGAAGCTCTCTCTGGCTGCTTCCCAATGCTCCTCCAGATTTCCTCCAGCTGCACCATGGCACAGGCAGATGGAGCCGCAGCCATGGGCAGCCCCATGCAGGGCAGTGCAAGGGGAGCCTCGCTGCACATGCAAAAGGGGACTGATTTGCTGTCACACACCAAGCAGCAGCCCCACAGAGCCCCAGTGAGGGCCTGGGGGGAACGGGGAGCTCCCCCTCACCTGTGTAGGGCAGGAGGCAGTTGCAGGTGTAGCCAGCGACATCGTCGATGCACGTGCCCTGGTTCAGGCAGGGGTTGGAGGCACATTCATTGATATTGGTCTGACAGTTGGGTCCTGCATTAAGTAACATAGATAGAAGTGGCTGTGATAGAGGTGTGCTGCTGGGAGAGGGCTGAGGGTACAGTGGGGATGCGGTGACAATAGCAATGTCCCACCCATCACCCCAGAAGAGCCTCCTGCTCTCAGCTCCAGCCATGGGCACGCAAGCCCTGCCGAAGGTCCCCATGCTGGCTCCACTGCCGCATCTCCCAACCAGACCTGGGGTCTCCACCTCCTCCAGCCCATCCAGCAGCATGGGGACACCCTCCCACAGCTCCCACCCAGGCCCTAGCAGTGTCCCTGGCTGCACCCTTACCGCTGAAGCCCTCCCTGCATGTGCAGATGTAGCCGCTGGTCATGTCCTTGCAGGTGCCACCGTTCATGCAGGGATTGGATTCACACTCGTTATTGTTGATGTCGCAGTTCGTCCCACTCCAGCCTGGGTCGCAGTCACACCTGTAGCTTTGGGGGGAAATTGGGGTATAAAACACAGGATCTGGTTGGACCTGGCCCTCCTGGCTACAGCAGCCATCATCCACCCAGCAAACCCCATCTCCTAATCGTGCCCCTGCAGGGAAGCGTCCTCAGCACCAGCACTGGCACAGGGGATGGCTGCCCACCCTGCCTCCGAACCCGGCTTTGCTGGTAGCCCTTTGGTCCCCGTGCCTCCAGCCTACCCGTTCAGCCCGTCGTGGCATTTCCCATGGATGCAGGGGTTGCTGTTGCACTCATTCACTTCGGACAGGCACTTTGGGTCATGGAAGCCCTCGGGGCAGAGGCAGGTGAAGCCGTTGATGCCATCCTTACACGTGCCCCCGTTGTGGCAGGGGTTGCTGGAGCACTCATCGATGTTGATGTTGCACATGCGCCCTGGGAAAGGGGATATGAGGAAATGCTACTCCACAGGATGCACGGCACGGCACGGCGGGCACACACCGCATCCTGGGGGGCACCCACCGGGCAGGTCCCCTCCCAGCCACCCGGAATGGCTGCTGGAGGCTCCGATCTCCAGGCACACGTGTGCTGGCTGCATAGGAGCGGGCTGCCCTCCAGGCAGGGTGACTTCACACCCCTGCACTGCCCGCCTGGCTTCATTAATGTGACTGGGAAGAGGCTGTGACCTGGGCTCCTTTGGTCCAGGAGAGAATAATGAAGGGAGCTGGTTTCAGCCTGTAACCCTACCTGCCACGGCTGACAAAGCCCGGCTTTATGGCGGGGCCCCGCGGGGGGGGAGAGGTGGGGGCTGCTCCCATCAAAGCCCTCCGCCATTCCCATCAAACAAACCAGTCGGACAAGGCAGCAACTTGATACCCATGGGAGTGGGCGCAGCGGGACTCGGATTCCCGGCACCAGACACCCCTTTGATTGCAGCCTGAGCCAGGGTCACCCTCCTGAGCAAGCAGGAGCGCTGGAGGGTGCAAACCCTCCCTGCGGGAAGCAGGATGGCAGCATCAACCCTCCCCGCTGCACCTTGCCCCGGCTGCGTGCAGCATCCCAGCACTGCCGTGGGCACAGGGGACGGCCCAAGGCTCCCTGGATCCACACCACATCCGCAGTCGAGGTGGCTGCGTGCCCTGCCCTTACCTGTGTACCCCAGCTCGCAGGTGCACTCGTAGCCGTTGATCTTGTCAATGCACTTGCCATAGTCGCAGGGGCTGCTGGCGCAGTCATCCAGGTTGATCTCACAGTTGGGCCCTGGGGAGGACAGTTGGTGGCATTAGGGCGTCCCCAGCCTCGCTGACCAGGCAAAACGAAGCCCACCAGCACCAATGGGTGCCACTGCTCCATGGCACCGCACCTCTGCCATAAGCAGCTCCCAGCTGGGGAGCGGGGCCTGCGGGAGCTGGGCACC